CAGAGTGGCCACAGTGTGGCTCACCCTTGAGACCGTCGTTTGGCCCACTCTTCCCTCGTCACTTAGTTCTTAAGTTTGAATCGCATCCCCTATTTGAAAACCTGGGACAAGCTCCAAAGCTGCTGAATATGCCAGTGGAAGCAGGACCCATCCTACACACTGTACACATTGAACTTCTCTGGGTCGGGGGCCAGGACAGACCCTGTGCAGAGTCTTGAACTAAATCGCTTGTTTTTAAGATGCTTGAGATTGCATGGGGTGGGGGGAGAATGCATGTAACAGAATAGAAACAATAACCTTATGTGCTATTCTCGTGCTGTGTGTACTTACATGTTTCTAAGTGGTGAATTAAAGGTAGGTTTTATTCTCTAAGATGATACTTATATATCGGTATTTCTTTTTTTTATATTTCAAAATATTAAGGGAATACAAATGTTTTTGTTACATGGATACATTTTATAATGCTTAGGTCAGGGCTTTTAGTGTGCCCGTTACCTAAATAGTGTTCATTGTACCTGGTAAGTAGGTTTTAACCCCTCCCCTCCTGCCCCTCCCTCTATCTTGATTTCCAATGACCTTTACATCTCTTTGTGCCAGTATATGCCCATCAATTAGCTCCCAGTTATTAGGGAGCACATATGGTGTTTGCTTTTCCATTCCTGAGATACTTTGCTTAGGATAATGTTCTCCAATTCCATCCAAGTTGCTGCAAAAGACATTATTTCATTCTTTTCTATGGCCAAGTGGTACTCCATGGTATACATACACCACATTTTCTTAATCCACTCCTGAATAGATGGGCACTTAGGTCAATTCCACATCTTTGTGATTGTGAATTGTGCTGCAATAAACATTCGAGTGCAGCTGTCTTTTGATAAAAATGACTTCTTTTCCTCAGGTAGGTACTTAGTAGTGGGATTGCTAGATCAAATGGTAAATCTACATTTATTTCTTTGAGGACTCTCCATACTGTTTTCCATAGAGGTTGTACTAATTTGCAGTCCCACTTACAGTATATAAGTGTTCCTTCTCTCTGCATCCACCTATTGTTTTTTTTGACTTTTTAATAATGGCCATTCTGACAATGGTAAGGTGATAGTTCATTGTGGTTTTATTAATAATTTGCATTTCCTTGATGATTAGTGATATTGAGCATTTCTTTATATGTTTTTTGGCCATTTGTCTATCTTCTTTTGAAAAACTTCTGCTTATGTCTTTGCCCACTGTTTAATGGGGATGTTTGGGTTTTTTGGGGTTTTTTTCTTGCTGATTTGTTTGAGTTCTTTGTAGACTCTAGGTATTAGCCCTTTACCAGATGTATAGTTTGGGAATGTTTTCTCCCATTCTATAGGTCGTCTATTTATGCTGTTGTTTCCTTTGTTGTGCAGAAGCTTTTTAATTTATTCAAGTACCATTTATTTATTTTTATTATTTTCAAAAAGTTTCCCCAAATGTATCACTTTTGTAGTTAGGAAATGTGTGGAGCTTTCAAAAGTTTTGAAAATGCATGTATCACATTTGTAACTAGGAAAAAGTGGTATTTTTTTTAAATAAACAATCTTTCAATGATTGTAATAGTCATCCAGCATGAGCTCCCTTCAATCCCCTCTGTGCTGTTGGGTTGAGACAGACAGGTGGGGTGACAGACGACCAGCAGCTGCATTCTGAGCATCAACTCCTCATTTTCACCCTGGTCTCTGAATGCAGTGAACAAAAGCACCACGTGTCATCTGCCCTCACCGTTCCTGTTGCATGGAGTTTCTTCAAGCTTAGACTCTTCTGGCTTCTTAGTGAGCTACGTGAAGTGAAGGACACAGTTTACATTGGAAGATGCTTCTTTGGGATTTGGGAAATTGTTCAAGATGTTGTTTACCATAGCGCATGAAGTCCCCTTCAAAACACCTGCAGAAGAGAAGCTGCTCTCTGACCATAGATTAGGGAAAGTGAGCCTGTACTGCCTATGCAGAACAGACATGTTTCTATATAACAAACATGTTTCTATATAACAAACCTTGTGCATCTTTGCTTAGACTGCTAGGAGGCACCAAGCTAGACTTGCCACTCAGCTTTAGCATGTGCACGTGCCTGTCTGATGTGCATCCTTGTATACCAACCTGACACCTGACTTCTTTGCTCTCTGCTACTCCTTACCCTTATTTTCCTTTGCCCTGATCTCTCCTTCTTCTCTCTCTGCCTGCCTCTGTCTCTCTCTGTTTCTTTCTCTGGGTCCCTCCCTCTTCTCCCTCTCTCTCCCCCTACTCCCATCTCTCTCTCAACACCCCTCGCCCATCTCTGTCTCCCTCCCTCCCTCTCTCCTATACACACTTCTTTCTCACTGGCATCCCCTTCTTATGGTACCTATTTTTATAATACCTCCTGCCTCCTCTGAGTTTACAAGAAGAGGCACAGTGTCCATCAGTGGAGGTAAAATGAGCCCATGGCATTGAGTCCACTCCTCACCAATCAGTTTGGAAGAGAAGTGTTCCCAAAAGACATGTCCAGGGTTTTTGTTTTTGTTTTTTTCTTCTTTTAATGTATTTCTGTTGACCTGATACTACACCACAAAGAATTTCAGCAGATTTAAGGCTTTAGAATCACACAGGAGTTTGAAAAGCTGGAAGATGACTGGCTCCATAAAGGATCCCCTACGGAAGCCCTGGCCTTTATACTTTTCCAAGAGGCTGTTAGTCTCTGTCCTTTGTTTCCTGCGTAGCGCGGCCTGTGTGTCTCAAACATTAGTGTGCTTCAGAATCCGCTGCAGGACGAGCGTCACTGGATAGCAATTCTATCTTAATAAACCTGATGTTTAGAAAATCACCTGGAGAGCTCACACACAGCTTCCTGGGCCCCAGCCCAAACATCCTGATTCCGTAGATCTGGGGTGGGGCCCGTGAACTGGGCTTTCTGACAAGCTCCCAGGGATGTGAAGCTGTCTATATGGAGCCCACACTTGGAGGAGCCCAGTTCGAAGCACTGACAAGGGACTTTAGCCACTTAGAGGTGGTGGTTTAAATGGCCTTTTGTGCAGCTTATCAAAAAAGCCTTTTGAACATCTAAATCAAATTAGATCCACAGTTTCTAGCCCCTTCATCTCTCCATGTTTGCTCCTTGATGAGTTCAGTGAGCACAGAGAAGCCAGTGATGCGAACTGCAGGAGACCCTTCTGGTCCCAATTCAGCATGCCGGTGGCCAATATTAGCGAGTGACCGAGCCTGTTCATCAGGCTCCCAGGCCCGGGACTCGCAGGGAACTATAATCAGCCGGGCAGTTGAACCACAGTAGTCCTGGAGGCTGCTGCTCCACAGAGAACCCGGCAGCCCCAGGTTGACATCCCCCCTGGCTTTGGTCTTCTCTGCTTGTCCTCATGTGCAGAAGAAACTAACTCATTAGGGGCTGAAGGGGACAGTTGGACTTTCAGTTCCATGTCACTGAATTTATGGGGGGATTACATACTACAGTGGTCTTATCACATGGGGGATTCATTCGTATCTTGGGATTGTCAATGATAGTAGGAGAGCTAACAGCTGAGTGCTGTGGATTAGGTTCAGTACTTAACAAGCATTACCTCACTGCACCTCAGAGCACCCGGGAGCAGGGGGACTCCCATCTTGTGGATACAGAAGCAGGCTATGGGAGGCCAGCTGCTTCAGCCAGGTGGCAGGATGCAAACCCATGTCTCTCTGACTCCAAAGCCCATGTTTTAACCACTACGTGCTCTCCCTCCTCCACGTCAAGGATTCTGTTGTATTTTTAGCCTCTGCTTTTTCCACTGGAATTATGGGATTTCTAAAGAGATGATACTTCTAGAAGCAATTCATGAATAGACAGCAACAGGAGTTTAATATTTAGTGGTGGTCTAAAACCCCACAATATGAAATGTCCTGTCCTTTCTCAGAGAGGAAGAGCTCCAAGAACAAGTTTTTTCCCCCAGAAGCTAAATGGAAAAGACCCACTCCTCAAATACCCAAAACACAAGCATAAGGGGACGTGTTGAAAGAAGCCATGGAAACTGCCTCGATGGTGCCATCTTGAGACAGCTACCTACCACGCCTACCTTGTTATTTGGACAAAAGGAGCCTATGCGAGTGGAATAAAATCAGTCCAAAGGGATGCCTTTTCTGCTGGTCAGCAGGTCTGTTGGTGTGCTGTGCATTCCAATGCTCCTAAATTGGCTATTTTTATTCCTGTCTGAAGGCCAAGGAAGGAAAACCCTGGAGGTTTGGTGTCCACCACAAGCTCACGAGAGTTATGGCACCAGGGCTATGTGGAGGACACGTCTCAGCCCCAACTCGGCCCCTTTTGCTCTGTCCCCCTCGTGGCTTTCTGGATACTGACTGTGCCACTCTCACATGGATTTCTTCGCTTTAAGTAATCTTTGTAGCCTTATCACTCCTACTCCCACCATCTGAGAGAAGCCCTGCTGCCATATTAGTGTATATCCTTCCCAGACTTCTTCATATCCAGATTTCTATTTGTGTCTTTTAGTAAAGTGGAATCACACTATACAGACCATATTGGAAATCCATCTATGTCACTTACAGTATATCATAAGCATCTTTTTGCATCATTAACTATTCTGCTTCTGCACTCATTTAATGGTTACAGAATACTCTATTTCCTTTCTTCTGATTTCTTTTAAAACAAACTTTATGAAGACTATCTTTTAAAAATGATCTCTGTCACTTTGCAAAAGGAAAATTAGGTAGCTCTTGGGTTGAAATAGTAAAATTGCTCTGGTATCTTTGAATTACACTGATTCTTTTACACAGATTGTTTTGCTGTCTATAGAAACAAAAAACCAAAAAAGCCAGAAATCACTCAAGGCAGGAGCTCTGGTCCTGGCAGTTAGGAAGGGAGAGCGGAGGAAGGGGTGCCCAGGTGGGGACCCTAGTTCCAGCCATCAGGGGCTCCACCTTCTTGACAGGTGGGGTGGGGACCACAGGGGTACACGTGGCAGCTGTGCCTGAATCTGAGCCCAGTGTCTTTCCTCTCCCCGGCAGACCCGCCCATGGCCGCAGCAGTGGTGTCTCATTTTAACGACTGCCCAGATTCCCACACTCAGTTCTGCTTCCATGGAACCTGCAGGTTTCTGGTGCAGGAGGACAAGCCAGCATGTGTGTAAGTATCCCCTGGTCTCCTGGAGTGCTGGGGCTGGGGGTGGTCCAGCATCCAGTTAAAAGAGCATTTACCTCCGCAAGGCTTGTCAGAGATCCCTGAGACCCCTGGAGCCAGGCACGTTGGAGGATCAGAGCAGCAGGCTGAGGGATACCTGTTTCAAAACCAGCTGGCTAAAACTCCAGGTTCCAGGGCCCCCAGCCCAGAGCCACTGAGGCAAAACCCCTGGAGGTTGGAGCCTGAGGCTCTGTATTATTAACAAGCATCTCAGGTGACTCCTGGGTTCAGCAAAATCTGAACATTTCTGGTTTAGAGTTTAATTCACTGCTTAGAATTCCTGGAAGGCAAGGCATGGGGCTGGATGCCTTTGTGTGGCCCAGAGTCGATAAAATGAGGTTTCTGCCCTCCAGCATCTTTGCAGTCCAGCTATTAATAGTAAAATGAGCTGGAAATGCATGCAAAGGGCCAGCATGCACAGTGTTCATGCAATAAGGTGCAACTTAGAAATAAAGATGCATGCCAGGGCACGGTGGTTTCCACACCTGGCCAAGCATCAGCCTCCTGGCAGTTTCTTAAAGTATTGCTTAGCCCCACCCTGACCTGCAGGATCAGAATCTGTAGGAGTGGGATGCAAGAATCACGTTAGGTAAGAGCCATGGTGATTGCCATGGCCAGCCAGCTTGGGGGAGGAAAGCTTCTCAAAGCAGGTGGTAGGGTTTGACTAGTAGGAGAGCAGAGAGGTTTTCCAGACCTGGAGTTTCCAGGGGAACCTGCTGTTACAGGTCAGTGTGGCCACAACAGGGAGGCAGGGAGGAGACAAGTTGGATACCAGAGCCTGCTGGAAGTGAGCCTTTCTTCACTAGGCAGTGGGAGCCTGGTAAGTTTTAGAAAGAGATATTTTGAGACAACCTGTCCATAGTAGAATACTATCAGGTGGGCCTGTACTCAACCTTGGCACTATTGACATTTGGAGCCAGATGGTTCTGTTGTGGGGACCGAGCCATGCATTAAAGGGCACCAGCAACAGTCCTGGCCTCTACCCACTAGATGCCAGTAGCACCACCACCCCGGTTGTGACTGTCAACAATGTCTCCAGACATTGTCAAATGTCCCCTGCAGGGCAAAATCACCCCCAGTTAAGAACCACTGAACCATATGAAATTGCTATGTTTCTAGGTCAAAAATGGTTGAAAGTCAGCAATTTCATATGGTCCAACCTAATAGCACAAGTAAATCGTACTAAATGTTAATAAAAACTGGCATTTCTTGAGGTTTTGCTTCACGTCAGGCACTGTTTCAAACCCGATCCACGCATTTATACATTCGTTGCTCATAACGACCCCATGAGGTAAGCACAGGTTGTGCCCAGGCCACGTAGCAGAGCTTGGATTGAAACCCAGCTTCTCTGGCTCCTGTGGCTGAGTTCTTAACCATGATGCTTAAGCGTGTCAGATGCGTCTGCCTGGGACAGCCTGGGGACCAGGAGAGCCTGCCATAGTCAGCGGCGGGGGGGCAAAGCTTCCTCTGTCTGTGGTGCAGCTGCATGAGCCTGGGCGGGGCCCTTGGGTGCCTCAGAGCCTCACCTGGAGAGGAAGAGGGAGAGGCCGCTGGCCACCTTCCTCCTGGAAATGTCTACAGAGCTAAGAGTCTCTCTCCGATGAGAGGCCTCCCCACCCTGTAAACACAAAGCACGATGATGACAGATGCTGTCATTATTCATGATTATCATTCTTATTAATAATTAATAATTAACACATTAGGGGCCCCTGGGGGATTGATGGGATTGTTTTCATTGGTGCCCTGGTCATTGTGGAAAAACACTGGCCCTGAAGGAAGTTTGGCCTCTTGACCCAGATGTCAGGAGGCCTCCCTGAACAAGGGGCAGGAGGCACTGTCCCCGCGGCTGTGCCCAGTGCTAGGCCAGAGTCAGGCATGCAGGGCCTCAGTGTGGGCCAGGCTATGGGTTGGGACAACCCTCTTTAGAGAAAGAGGGCATGTCTTTACCTGGTTCTGATCAAAAGTAGGTCAGAAACTCAGTTTTTCCTCCTCACATTCCCTCCTCACCAGATCAAGGGCTGCCTGGAGCCTGGGCCACCAGTCAAGCTGGGCAATCACCGTATCTGTGGCTGAGACCCGCCTCGGCTGCTGGAAGCCTTCTAAGAGCTGGGGGTGGGCAGCTGCCCTTCTGTTGTCCTCAGTCTAAGTCCCAAGCCCTGCTCTTTATCCAAGGGAGATAATTCTCCATCACATTCACACACCATTACATTTTGGTAGATGTCTCCCCCACCCACATTATAAATCTGAGTATTAATAGAAAACTCACAATAAAAGCTCAGTTTGTGCCAGGCATGGTCCCCAGCATTCTGCATCAGGTAACTCATGGAGTCCTCACAGCTCCCCTCTCAGTGGGGATCATTGCCCTGTTGTGTGAAGGAGAAAGAAGTGAAGCAACTTGCCCAGAGTCTCAGAGCTAGGAACTGGCAGAGGTGGGGTTCAGTCTGATCACCCCAAACCCAACCCAGAGGACGTTCTGCCTCAGCCTGGCAAAATTCACCTCAAATCACCAAGCTCTTTTGTTTCCAGCAAGGGTGTTGGCATCATGCCCTGTAGCTATACCTTGCCCCAGAGAAAGATGGGTCATTCCCAAGCTCAGTTCTCTGATCACACAATCTTAAGTTTTTCCCGGGGGCCACATGTAGGGTCTACAGACACAGCCAAGACCCCCTCATGTCTAGAAAAGCTGACCATCTTGGCGGAAGCACAGCCATGCCAGCAATAACTGCCTCTTTACCTCAGTTTCCCCACTGAATCTCAGTGGCTCAGGGGCAGTATTCAGCCCACAGACATGTTTTATGTGGCAGGAGAACATGTCCCACATTGTTCTTTCATGGCTTTAATTTGTCGTCCACATTTTAGAAGGCAGGTTCCACATTGCCATGCAGATGACCAGCCTCTCTTGACTAAACAGGACAATGGCAGCAACAGGCCTGAATTCCCAAACACAGCCACTCCTCTGGGATTCAGGTGTTCCCACTCCACCAGCCCAGACGGGGCTTGCCCTTTGCAGCTCTCCATTTTCCACCTGTCCCCGATATGCCCTGACACCAAAGCAGAATGGTGGTCCCCAGCCACCTGTTGCCACAGCTGTCCTGCTCACACTAGCCTGCCTGACCAGCTTCAGCTGCCCGCATGACCCCCGAGGGCTTGCGTGTGCCCAGCCCCTAGACAGGGTCCTCTGCACACCCCTCCAGCTCTGACAGGGGAGGGTAGTGGGGGGCCAAGGATGAAGTGCCATCCCACCCTCCCTTACCCCCATGCTGGCTTGTGAGCTCTGGGCAGACAGGACCACACCTTATACCTTTTTGTATTTGCAGCACCTAGAAGAACGTTCTGATTAGTTAATTCCCGTTAGACCAGAAACTCCAAGTCTGTGCAGAGAAAGCAGAACATTCTATCCCTGCTGCTATGAACCGCCCCAGCTTTGGGGAGCTGACACGCACACATTCTGGTCAATAAAACTGACATTCCTTGAGATAAGGCCCCATCTGTCATGGCCTTATAAAGAAAACCCACAGGGAGCCAAGATTAGAGTCTCGAGAGAGGGAGCTCTTTCTAAAATATTGTCATTCTTAAACTTTGTCTTCCATGAGAACAATAGTCATTAGGTTTCCAGAGAGCCTCACACTATAAAAACGAGGGGAAGAAAAAAATGAAAACAAATAATAAAGGTAGTGAAAATTATTCCTAAATGTTTATGCTTCAGATGAGCCCTAGATTGTGTATTATAGCTCCCTCTAATAAAACCCCCACCGCACCCCCCAGTACCTGACCACATCAGAAACTAATGGGAAAAGAATTTCCAAAGACAGCCAAGCTATAGAAAGGCAAGGTTAGGATGCCAGCATCACTTTTTCCCTGAGGCAGATTCCTCAAACTGTTGGTCTGCCACCTGTGGAAGCCTTCAAACAAAAGAAAACGGGTAAAGGAAGCCAGACAGGTGACAAGTTTTAAGGGTTCTAGTGTAGGCAACCAGTTTGAAGTTTCTCACCTGTCCAAAATGCTCCCCAGTGACTGAATTCCCTGACAACTTTCCCACAGCAAAGTGTGAAAACAATTTGCTGTCAGCCAAAGAAAACATTCCACATGGCCCTGGCCACAGGACATTCCAGTGGAATCTGAGCAGACTTAAACACCCAGAGAGACCTGACCACCATCGGTGCACGAGCAGGCTGCCCGTGGGACCAAGAGTTCAGGAAGGGGGCGGTTTTCTTGTTGGTACTTGAGCCTCTTTATGTAGATCTACTATCATCTCGACAGTCATCAGGTGTAGGGGCAGGGTTTCAGATGCATGACATCACTCCCATCCACGTCTGGAGAAAGTACATGTCCTCCTCTCCCCCTACATCCATCAGAAGCAGATAGTGAGATAACGTGGCAGCTAAAGGCATGGATTGTGGTAGAATCCCGCTGAATCTCTCCTGCAAGTGACTTAGCCCCATTGAGCCTCAATTTCTTTGTGTACAAAACTTTTTGTGTGCTGGTACTTCATAGGATCGTAATGAGGACCCAGCAACGATAATGCATATAGCGCAATTGCTTTTAAGACAAGAGCCACTAGACATACGGGGCTGTTTAAATTAATTGATTTAGTTCATTCATTAAAATTTAATTTCTCAATCGCGCTAGCCACATTTTAAGCACTCAGTGCCTTGAGGTGGCCAGTACTGTATTTGACTGCCAGATATAGACTCTATCATCATCACAGAAAGTTCTATTAGCACTGGAGAACATGCAAGCCCAGTTCCCAACCGAGCTTAAGAGCTCAAGTGTTTGCTAGTGTGGCTGCTGTCACTGCAGCTGAGGGACATTGTAATGTCCTACTGAAAAAGGAGTGTGAAAGTAGGACAGATCACGGAACCCATAGCTGTCTCAAGAGACCCTTGGATCAAAGCTACAAAGGAAGCCCTTACTCCAGCCCACTCCTCCCCAGCGCCTGCAGCAGAAGGTTGTAGGGCTTATATACCTTTAAATATGGTACATAACAATTGGGCTTTGGAATAAAAACGGTTAGTGAAAGACTTTTCCACTAAGCAGCACTAAAGACAGAAAGCTTGTCCACCCTGACATCCCAGACTGTAGCCTTGAGCAGCTGTTTTTTCAGCATTTCCTCTTTGCCATAAATCTTAAACCTATACAATACCTATTCCTTTAACATTAAAGTGTTTAAAGTTTTGTTAACATTGGGCAAAATCTGTGCTTCAGGAAAATATACCGTATTTATCCTACGGCTCCAAGTCCCCTCTGACTTCCTGGGTCTGGCAGCCCCGGGGCACAGGGTTAGGGGAATCACAAATACAGTGTCTCTGGGGCCGGCCCCGCCAGCCCCCACAACAGCAGACACACCGGGACCTTAATCCCCTTTCAGTCTTCCTTGTTCTTCAGAGGCCTTTAGCTATCATTGCCACATCTTGGGGGGCAGGGAGAAATAAAACAAAATTTTAAATCTATCATGTGATACAGGGCTGCCCCTGAAGGACATCCTCTATGGGAGGGCGACCCCACCTGAGAAGGAGATAGTGATCAAACATTTTTATTGACAATAAGAATGTCACCCCATACCAAAGGGACCAGTGTCTAAGCTAAGTATTTTCTGTTGAGAAGAATCATATGCTTGGGAGGGAAAAAGCCTGTGAAAGAAAATGACCAGCACTTCCTTCTGGCCAGGGCACTTCCTGAAGCACCATCAAGGGGGAATCACCTGTGCATAGCAGGAGGCTGTTATTGATGCTGAGCAGCAGCAGTATCAGGAATAATGTCACCTGGTATTGGCACGGCACTTTACAGGCTACACATACGTTCAAACATGACCTTGCTTGTGCCTTTACTAAGCCTGGAGTGGAGGTGGCCCAGGTATCGTTGGATGCTGAGGGTTCACAGGAGCACAGTGACTTCTCCAGTCCTACGGTGACCAGGCAGTGGTGCTGGATTTAACCTCCTGCCGGCTACCCCAGGAGGTTCCCTGCACACTAGGCCACCTGGTAAATACTTGCAGAGCTAATTACACTTGAGGAAGAAGATAAAAAAGCAAACCACAGCCTGTCTCCAACTGATTTAGCATGTTTTCTTTCTGTCGTCATCGGAAATTCTGAAAATACACATTTGATTTAAAAATAACCTGGGTTTTTATGAACTGCCGAAATGAAGTTCATGGCATGAACACAGTTGCTGTCTTTATTCCCCGATAGTAGCAGTAACCGTGGAGCTTTCGTCCAGGTGATGAGGGCGACTAGCTTCCCTCTCCTTCTCCAAGCAAGTGGTGCCTGTGGCAGGGAATAGGAGGTATTTTGCTGACACCTTTGCCTCCAATGGCAAAAGATGGCAGGGCCCCTTTGGGCTTTTCCTGCAAGCTCTAGGTCCCTCCAGCCCAGCCCTCCCTGGGGATTTGGGAACAAGACGTTCTCTCAGGAGAGTGCACTGACATTCCTTTTTTCCCCAGCTGCCATTCTGGGTACGTGGGTGCACGTTGTGAGCACGCAGACCTCCTAGCCGTGGTGGCTGCCAGCCAGAAGAAGCAGGCCATCACCGCCTTGGTGGTGGTCTCCATCGTGGCCCTGGCTGTCCTCATCATTGCGTGTGTGCTGATACAGTGAGTATTTGCTGTCCCTGAGGTCAGGTCCCCTGCCTGCCTGCCCTACCAGGGACACCTGCTGCACATCTAGATAACAGGGCCACCTCAGCGCAGCTTACTGCTGGGATGTCTGAACAGCATCAGCAAAGCTAAGAGGAACTTCGATGCCTCTTGGCATGTCATGGCAGCCAAGCTGTGTAAAGGCCTCATGCATCCTGGGCAGGTCCCCAGCGGTGGCTTCATGTACTGCCAGAAGCCAGTGTAGAGCAACAGGCATGCTCTTTCTCTTCACCGTTGTGTTGGAGTCTTCAGAATAGTGATGAAATGGGAAGGTGCTCAAGAGAGAACCAGAAACAACTCCCAGCCTCCTTTGGGCAGTAGCAGAAGTGCTTCCTCTCTGCAGAAAGCACTTTGCAAATCCTAAAGCCAAGTTGGGAGCCACTGTTGGCTACTTCTACAAGCTAATGACCATCACTCTGCATAGCTCTTCGCCTTTCTCCTCTTCTCTGCGCCTCCTCATCCTCCAAAACTCAGTTTCCATGTGGCATCTTCCAGGAAGCCTTCCTGAGCCCTAGACTGAGAGAAGCCCTTTTCAGATGTGGGTTAGCCCCGTTAGCTTTCTCATGTCTCCTGCCTGGACTGCTCTGCAGGGTGAGAAATTCTGGGAATATTGTGCTATAGTCCCAGCCTGTGGTACTGTGCCAGGTTTATTCCCTGGGAATATCTGAAGTCTAAGTCGCACAGCAAGCTCTTAGAGGATTTATACCTAATTGGATATGCACGAGGAATTCACAGAACAGTCAAAGGCTGCCGCCCAGTTCAGTGTAGATTAATTTATGGTGGAGACGGTGGATGGGCCACTCTAGCACGGGCTGGAGTAAGCAGCTACATGTCGATGCAGGAAGCCAGACTTAAACCCTCTGAGATTGCCTACGATTCGGACAGATAAATAAGAGACTGTCCTGTTGGCTCATTGCTGTTGGGACATCTGAATGAAGCATGTGCCCTGGTTCTGGTAATAAATGGGGCACCCCTTAGAGCCCCGGCTGGTTGACAGTAGCCACAGCCTGCTCACACCCTTCTCCTGGCCAGGCCAGCATTACATGGTGAGAAATGAAGTCTGAACTGGGCTGGCCCCACCTCCCTCCCCAGGCAGTATCCATTCCACTCCCAGGGGTCTTAGGAAAGTGTGTTTGCAGGAAGAAGACAGCCCTGGTTCAGGCTGGGACATAGCCAGGCCTCTGCCACTCAGAAGAACCCCCCCTAAAGGAGCAGGAACAAGCCAGTAAGCCACTGGCCTCGCCTCTCATGGCCAACTAGCTGTGTGTGCTCACCCATCCTTCCATAGTCCTGCTTCGGTGGCCAGGAGGGTCTTAGGAGACCCCTTAGGTGACTTAGGAGAGCCCACATGGGCCTCCCCAGAGCAACCTAAAAGCTAATTTACAGACTTTCTGGAGACAGGTACGATCTAGACACCTAGACAGCATCTCTCATTCCCAGGGAGGCAGCCAATCCCACTTCTCCTCTGGCCCTTCCCAGCCAGTCCCTGCCAGAGACCAAGTTCACAATCCACGAGCCAGAGACTAAGCCCTCAGCCCTGCCAAGCTGCTGATTGCCTGGGCGTGGGGATCTCCAGAGTTGCGAAGTTCCTGTTGGGACCAGTTTATCCCATCCTGGAGGGATCTAGAGGCCTTGAGCCCACTGGGATCCCCTGGGATGCTCCTGCATGGGAAGTCCCTGGGGCAGGTGTACCTGGCTAGCTGGCTATGAGAAAGCAGTCATTCATGGGTCTAGAATCAGTGGGGGTTTTTTTATGCTAACCCTGAAAACTGTCCATTCCTGCCCACAGAGGGAGGCAGGAGCCTTCATAACCCTGATGCTTCAGGACTCCGGCAACACAGGTTTACAGAGAGATTGGATGTTCCAAAGCTAGAGAATTTTAGTCCTCAAAGAAGGATTCAAACCCATTGAGATCTGTGACTCGCTCATTTTTCCATGGGTCAGTTCAAGTTCCCTGCTTTGCTGCTGGAAATACCTGATAAATAACCTCTTCCTAAACCCTCACAGCCCTGCCAGCCTGAAGTGGCTGCTTTAGCCCAGTTCTGAAGCCATTACTACATTTGTGGAATTATCCACCTGGTTCTTTATAGAAAAAGCAGCAGGGTGGGTGGCCAGTCCCCTCTGACAGCCAGGGAATCTGGAGCCAGGCTGGCCTAAGAAACAGAGCTGGTACTTTGGGGCAGCCAACAGGAGCTTTTGTTGTTGGCCAGCATCTGCCCCACAGGACCACGGCCCTGCAAGGCCATCAGCCCCCTACAGCACCTGTCCCTCTGGAGGCCCCATGGGAAAGCTGTTTTAGAACCTGGAGCTGCCCAGCAGGCCCCTGGGCCAGATGCTGCGCCAGCCAGCCCCTCCTGCCCAGCTCCTGCCCAGACTGTGTCCTCTGTCTCTACAGCTGCTGCCAGGTCCGGAAACACTGTGAGTGGTGCCGGGCCCTTGTCTGCCGGCATGAGAAGCCCAGTGCCCTCCTGAAGGGAAGGACCACTTGCTGCCACTCAGAAACAGGTAAGGGGGTAAGGGGCCTTTTCTCCATTGGAAGACACTGTTGGGTGGAGAAAACAGTCACCTTCCCTAAGTTGGGACATAAGTTCCTGGAGGATAAAGCAGGAAGAGACTATTTTATTCTACCAGGTTGGGTTTAGTTTATTCTAAGGTGGGTTTTACTTAGAGGGGAGCTCTTTTATCCTCACTGGTGGCAAGGGCTCGCAGGTGAACTGGGGCTGCTCGCCCAGGAGCCCTGCTGGAGCACATCAGCAGTGCTTCACTCCCGGGCCCGGGCGCTCCCCTCCACACGTCCAGAGGAATGACAAAAGGGACCAAGGGCCAGGGTAGGAAGATGCTAGGCTGGGCAGACTATGGAGCTGAGGACCGTGTCCATGCTGCCTCACCACGACAGCCCCAAAGGATACCCTCAGGGCCCATCCATTGAAAAATAAATGGGTCCATTCTTGTATGGCCTTAGGGGAGGCTATTCTGCCACCAGAGCCCTGAACCAGTTCATGAGCTGCCCACCACGCCATGGCTTACCAGGAAACTGGCCACAGGCTAAGGGAACTGAGGCCCTCATAGCAGGGTGCATCTCCCCACCCCCTTCCTTCTGCTACAACCCATTCACTTTCAGTCAGCCTTTCTGGCTTCCTCTGGCACTGAAAGCACAATGTCAGAAGTTGTGGCCCCTGAGGTTAAAGCAGCAGAAGTCAGACTTGAGCCTAACTGCCCCAGAGAACCTGGTGACATCGGCTGATGCCATCTCCAAGTCTCTATCCCAAGCTTGTTTTCCCAATGTGGCTAGGGGCTGGCCCACAATTTTTAACCTGTTTTTCCTTCCTGCCAGTGGTCTGAAGAGCCCAGAGGAGGAGTTTGGCTTGGGGACTGTGGCAGCCCAATGAAGAAAGGCCTTCTTGAGGACAGGACCGCCAGAGGCACCTGGACGTACTGGCAGACCTTCCCTACTCTGCCCGTGATCGCCCGCACAACCTTTTTGTCTTCTCTGGGCCTTTAAAACTCTGTCAAGAACTCTGTCTGCTTGGGGTTATTCTGTGTGACCTAGAGGAGCAATCAGCGGGCCACCGTTTAAAGACTGGTCAAAAAAGAACTGCAAAGAGGTGGCCTCCTGTTTACCTAGATAAGGTGTGTGCATCGGTCGGTGTCTGAGTCCAGGTGTACGCAGTGGTCTTCTGCCAGTCACGGATTCCGGGCTGTATTTCTTTCTCGTGGGACACCTCCCCACCACAGAATCCTGCCCAATGTAGGAGATTTCTGTAGTTGTTACCGTTGTCTCTCATCTGCTTATCGGGGAGGAAGGTGGAGAAGGGGAAACTGCCTATTGTTACATGAAGACGCCAACTTTACAAGGAGCCACGTCCTCTGGCCACAAGACCCTCAACCAGCCCGACATCTTCCACAAACATGTGATGTCGAAGACCATCCCATGCTGTTGCCACCCTCAGAGATAATTTCTTATTTATTAGATGGAGAATGGTTTTATTTTTAATCTCTTAAGTCAGACGTCTACATTAACGATGTATGTACTGCTATACTGATTACAAATGTCTGGCCTCTTTGACACGGATCAGGCTTTGGAAAAACCTTCCAGGGGGTGTGGAGATGCAACCAAAGGATGAGTTGCTGATAGGAGCAAAGATGGGGGTTCAGAGGTCATGCCATTTAAGACACAAAGCAGGTAAATGCCCTGATACATTCTGGTAGAAAAGTTAGCAAATCTAGTAGCGTGGATCTGCCCCCTCTGTTGGGGGAGAGAGGAAGAGAGTGCCTGTGTGTGTGTCTGCACAGTATAAACACCATACTTACTATACTGCTTGGTGATTAAATGGATTCACTTCCTCGTGAGCCCTCTAAGAGGATGTTAGAAATAGTCTACAGCCATACCACCCTGAACACGCCCAATCTCGTCTGATCTCGCAAGCTAAGCAGGGTCGGGCCTGGTTAGTACTTGGATGGGAGGAATAGAGCCTTAGCAAGGAGCCGTGGACATTTCAGGCCAAGTTCACTAAAGACGGACCAGGCAGTCATTTATTTTCCATTTTGTTGCTTGGTTGGCTTGTTGCTTTATTTTTAAAAGGAGAAATTTAACTTTCCTATTTATTTTCAAGCATTAAGAGAAATATTCCAGTGATTTTTTTTTTTCTTTTCCATTCAGGTTGCTAGTTTTATTAACAAAACCTCTAACAAGCCATCTCTGCTGTGTGGGTCTCGCTTTTCCCTCAAGAGAAGGAGAATTGTTCTCCTGAGCATCGAGTATGTTCTCACCCATTGGGCCTGCCTGCGGGAGGCCATGGATTGCGTCAAATAAAATGGGTAGTGCTTCCCTAGGGATGTTCATTAAAATTTGGAAACAGAATAACAATGAAATAACACATAAACTCCTTATGTGAGGAAACTCTTTATTTACTAATACTTGAAAAGTGAAAGATTTCCACCCATTAACCCTTCAGTGCACCTAGCGACTCACAGTGTGAAAGGGGGCGTTTAAAATACATCAGACTGGCTTGAAATTTCTGTCAGAAAATTCTGTCTTCTGCCTAATTTTCCCTGGTCTGGAGGAACCATTTCTGTGCATTTTCTCTTTATTTCTTATAATCGAGACAGTTATGTGGCCCATGTCTTAACTTTAGCACTCTGATTTAATGATGCCACACCTAAAGCACTACATGCAGAAATCAGATCTGTTCAGAGCCGGCCCCCGAGCAATGCAGATTACATAGCTCCAGGGTTTTTAATTATTAAACAAAATAGGTGTAAGTTTCCATTCCTTGAGCCGGTCCTACAGCAACAGGTATGTGGGCTAAGGCTTGACTGTAGCATCCTGCTCAGAGACCAATCAGTTGACACTGGTTTTTAGGCCCCCTCAGCAATTGGCTTTCAAGAGACTTTGCAGAGACACAAGAAGATGAAGATGGACAGACAGTGGAAGTGGAGGTTCCCTGCGAGAACTTCAGATTTCGAGTCTGCATATGTTCTGGTTCTCAGGTCCAGCAAGTCACGGCTGCTGGTGCCCCCTTCCCTGTGCCTGTACACCCGTGCAGGAAATGGGCTCAAGCACGTGCCTCCCTAGAAGTGCCTTCCGAGTCAGTCCTTTGTAAACCAGCAGGTCTGGAAATGGTTGAAAGCCAAGGGGGGTCCAGGCAGGCCTGGTTGGACCGTTGTCCACATCCCAGGATAGGAGAGCTTCACTTCTCTGCTCATTTCTCCTTTAGAGATCAAATGACTGGCAAGTGTCGGCTTCCTCTGCCCATTCATGGCAGTGCTCATTCTTTGGCTAGCTGTAAAAATGCTCCCTTTTCAGGTGACAAATGCATCTTCTCATCCACCTCTACATCTTTCCAGTTTTTCCTTGCCCTTTTTAAAGCTGTGTTCGTTACAATTAGAGAATCTTCCCAGAGGCCTGACCTGTAAGCAGCCACACACCTGGCAGAGGGGAACATAGCTGTTTCCAACAGCTCAGGAGACAATGAAAAGCCCCTATTTAAAAAATAAATTTTAAAAAAAGCCTTCTATATCTTTTATGGAGCCTGGATTTTCCCACTACTCCACAGGCTCTAACTTTTTAAAGCATACTGGTGGGAAACATTTTCTTCCACTTAGAAAGACAGACAGCAGCCAACCCTGGTCTAGAAGGCAGGGCCCCAGCTGCACACACATGGAACTGAGCAGGGGATGAGCATGCTGTCGTATCCCAGCGGAACAGGGGGGCAGAATGGCTCTAGAGTCCTTTTACCCGAGGAGAAGAAGGTGGGATTGACACCCACCCACCCACATTGGGGAGGGAGGAGAATTCACGGTTCTTGAACTTCTTGAGAGATTGTGCTTTGTGGGTGTAGAAAACTGCTTGGTATCTGCCGGGTGTCTCAGGCACATTGGCCACCGGTTGTTTCTTCAGGCAATTTGGCAGGCATGGACGATGAGGATCTAACACTTCTCAGGAGACCCCTACCCTTAGTAGCTTCTGGACTTTGATCTCTCCCAACCTGCCCAGCCAAGGAAGGTGGAATGACTTAAATGCCTAGGACCAAGAGGACATCACAGAAACAAGACAAACACATGTTTTTAATGCCCTAACATAGACCTATTCTCTCTAGCCATTGGTTTTATCAGGCTTCCGAAATATCTAATGGTGCGCATGTACGTGCGCACACACACACGGGACTGAAGCCCTTTTCCTAATGTAATAACTTTCTGAAATGTTCGACTTTTCATTATCTTTATTATAACCTGATGTTTTTTTAGAACTCATTACTCTGACTTCTGTATATGTTGCACTGAAAAGGTTAATATTTAATGTTTTAATTTATTTTGTGTGGTAAGTTAATTTTGATTTCTGTAATATGTTAATGTGATTAGCAGTTCTTTTCCTTAATATCTGAATTATACTTAAAGAGTAGTGAGCAATAATAGATGCAGTTGTTTTTCAGTAATGTGCATTTTTGTTGTTCAGTTGTACTGTACCTTGTTTCGAAGGATGAAGGAATGAACTCTTTTTTTCCTAAATCAAGACTAGAGTTTTTCTTTAATGAGATTGGGATATTGCTGAAGCAAATGAAGATTGTTTTTCTCTGCAAATGTGAAGGATGAGGAAAGATTAGATGATCTTTTGCAAAATCCTAAAACTAATCATAGTTGATCCCTATCTGCTTGAAGAAATCAAGGCCTCTGAAATTCTTCCCAGTGCAGAAGTATTTAATCTACTGTGTGTCCAACAATGCTAATTGATGTGGAGGAAAATATATAACACACAATCCCTGCCCCACAGGAATTGAGACCTGTCTGGGAAGACAAACTGACATGCAGAAAATAACTCTGGACTATTTCTAGACAAAATGCAAGTAAACAGTGAAATTACAAGGTGGAGAGTATATGTTAACAGCTGTGGTTCTCAATGTGTGGTTCCAGACCTGCAGCATCAGTATCACGTGGGAACTTGTTAGGAATGCAAATCTTTGGGCCCTGGCTCAGACCTACCAAACTCTAAGGGTACCCCACACCCCCTTTGCACTCAGGTGATTCTGACACATGCTCAGATTGGAGAACCATTGTGCTACGGGGCTCAGTGAAGGGACAAATTAGTGTGGGGATATAGTTTTTATCCTCCCGCTGTACCCCTACCCAACCCAGGCTCACCCACCCCTGTTCCCCACTGCCCAGTTTCGAACTGTAAGAAATTGTTCTGAAACTGTCAACCTGGGTCTTACCCATAGGAAAGCCTCTACACTTCTAACTCGTGTATAGGCCTCACGGGTGCAATGTATGAGGAGCTAATAGAGAAGTGAAGAGTGACATAGTTACTGAATGGCATGAAATCTAGGTCCCCAAAGAAGATTCAGCTCTTTGTAGCGAAGGATGAGCATGTGGACCTGTTGTCCAGGCCCCAAAGGCCTCAGGGTCAGCCTAACTTACAGAAAGATGGAAAGCCGGGCAGCTCTTTGTCTTGAGTTCCCTGGCCTGGTGCTGGCCCTCAATAAAACATTTCCCCACCTCTTAAGGGAGGAAGAGACCTACACGTCCCTGATCTTCCCCTCATGACCCTATTCGGTCTTCAGGGACATCTCCAGGCCTTATTTCTAATCTCTGGGATTTTTCACTTGTCTCCATTTTTTTCCTCCCCAATTTCTAAGCCTTCCTGCGCCAAGAGTGCCTGCCTGCCTGCCAGAACCAGGGTCCAGTGGCTGTCCCTAGTCCTAGTTAGGTGCACTGGCCTGAGGTGCAGAGGACCCATCCCAGAAAAAGAAACTATGAACTTTGAGTCAAGCCAGACCTTTCCTCATTTATCCAGGTGACTTGCAATTGAAAACTTGAAATCCATGTTCTGGACTGTTTTGATCCAGCCTTTTTGGGTCCTGTTGGCCCAAACTTCAGACTCCTATTTTTCCTGGTTGCCCTGACCCCTGTCTGGCCCTGTCTGGGGGCATTTGAGCGTGGCCCTAGCCTTGCCTCCTCTCTGGCTCAGAGCTCCTGCCCTGCAGCCACCTGGAATTCCAGCACCAGCACCCGTTCTCCCCTATCTCCTGAAACCCGTTCTGCAATTGCTCTTTGAAGGGCTTGCTACTTCCAGCGGGCCCTGAGGTTTCTGCCATAGTCTTTCACTTCCAGCAATTGGGGTAACTTGCCCATAGTCACAGAAGCTGGGTCTAGCAATGCCTGTTCCGCTGGGGTAGTATTGCTCACCCCAGATCAATGAGGAATTCGGATACATGGGACAGGATCTCAGGCAACATTTAAAAATCTCTCCAGGTGAATTGTGTTCAATTGGGATTTTCTTAAGGACTTTTGCACTTAAATTCTATATCCACTGAAAATATCCTAAATTAATACAAAAACAAAGACATTTTTGCAGCCAAACAAAAGGTGAGATAATTCGGCAGCAACAACTTCACACTACAAGTTATACTAAAGGGTACTCTTCAGGCAGGAACGTCATCACACATGAGATGCAGAAAGAAACAAGGAGTGTCAAAAAAAAATAACTGTACCGCCGGGCGCGGTGGC